AAAAACTATAATTGATATTTGGACATTGCGCGTGGGCCCCTCATCCTGTTAGGTGTATCTGTAGGGAGGATTGGAAGGGAAGTCAAAGGGAAGTCTCCAGAATGGAGTTCAGAAAAGGGAAGGGTAACGAAGAGAACAAGGTATGCGCAACGGATCTTTTCTTTTCTCTTAATTGAAATATCTTGAGTCCCAGAATATAAAGTATTTTATAAGGTAGAAGTAATATTTAGGGTCCAAGGGTATATCTCAATGGTTAGTGCTTGGGGTCCTGAATTCCATCTCAAACATCACACATGCACATAATACATGTATACAGGTGCACACCTGCATGCATACACATGCACACAGGGGCTCACACACACACACACACACACATACACACACACACACACACACACACACACACCGCTGAAGAGATGCTGGCCGATCCTTTTTCATATAAATTTCATATAAAATGTTTAGCTTGGTGCCTGGGGCTTTATATGTTGTCAGCAAATACTCGCTTTCCTCTTGCCAGTCTAATAATTTTACCCACCCCTGCTCCTATGTAATATTGGCATTATGATCCTGGAGTCCAAACTGACTGGGCCTCTGTTTCCTCCCAGTCCTGGGAATCTCAGCTCCTTCTAAAGACTTGGAAGTCTAGGTTTAGTTTGGTAGAAGTTGCCTTTGGAATGAGAGTTTTCCCATGGGCTAATGTTGCTAGTGGATTCAGGTCCCCTGCAGAGCGCTGTAGTCCAGCGGCAATGCGGGAAACCAGCCAGGGCCACTCCGGCTGACCAGCTCCCAATCCCTGCCATGGCTCCTCTGTCACATTGAAGTCTGCTGTGTCGTGTCCTCACTGCGGGAACCAGGACTTAACTTTTCCGCCCCCACCCTCACACTGCTGGCCTGCATAGGGTATCCCTGCGTAGATGGACCGATGGATTTGTGCCACCTGCCCTCTGGAGGGAGGGGCCTCAGTGGTGACCCGGCACTGGCAGAAATGATGCCAAGTCTGAATCTTGACTTGTTTTCTAATGAGAGAATTACTCCAAGTGCATGTTAAGACTCCGAGCAGTTTCCGGATGTGAGGATTGTGGACAATACCATCTTTCTCCCCTTCACCAAGGGCTGCTGGGGGGAGGGGGGCTCTAAGGAAATGCCATCTGTGGGCTGGGTGCTTGGGTCCCCTGTGACTAAGACTTCCTACAAGTAACAAGGCTTAGAGTCCAAATATTGCTTCAGTGAATGGCAATAGAATAATTAATGCGAGATTCCTCGCTGTATGGTTTTGAGACCAGAGGGCTGCTTGAATTCCCAGGTTCTCCCAGAGGGGCCATGGTGTCCCAACTCACTTCTGATGGCTCCCAACTCATGATGATTTGACTTAAATTTCACCTCCATGTGAAAGTACAACCACATAGCCTTTCTGTTTCCTACTCTACAGGAGATACTCAGTATTTTATTATAAAATGGCTCCTGTTAGAAGATTTTGTCAGCCAGGTGTTGGTGGCACAAGCATTTAATCCCAGCTCTGGCTGTCCTGGAACTCACTCTGTAGACAGGGCTGGCCTCAAACTCACAGAGATCCACTGCCTCTGCCTTCCGAGTGCTGGGATTAAAGGCATGTGCTTGGCTGGGAGATTACTTTAGCCTTAAGGAAGGTCTGACAGGGACGCGGAACATCTGCTTCTGACTTTCCCAAGTGGCTGGCTGTGTGACCTTAAGGAAGTCACACAAGCTTCCGCTTTTGCAAAATCAGAGGATTAGACAAGATGGTCTGTGATAGTCTCAAAATACAGAATGGAAAAACTATACGTAGACAAGCTTCCATTAGCATCATCACTAAGTACGGTGGGCAGCAAGGACCTATGCTTTCTGCTCTCTGTCTTTTTGTTTTTTTGAGACAGGGTTTCTCTGTAGCTCTGGCCGTCCTGGAACTCACTCTGTAGACTAGGCTGATCCTCCTGCCTCTGCCTCTCGAGTGCTGAGATTTCTCTGTCCTTTTTAATGGATTTTTTTTCTTTCTAAACCAGTTGGCTCTGTTTTCTCCTGCTTTCTATTTCTGTTTCCATGTGTGGCAGCCAGGACTCAATAGTCTTTTCCTCCATGAATGTAGTCACTGGTCCAGTTGTTTCTCTGGGCCCATCCCAGTCGGGTTCTGGCAGGAAAAGGAGGTCCAGCCAGTAGGTGAACATGTCTGCCCCTCGTGGTCATCCGTAGAACAACAGTTCCCAGAAGATAGTGCCCACAAGTCCCAGAGCTGGGCAGCTCCTTCACCTGTCAGCAGTCAGAGAAAATTTTTGGCCCTATTCTTTACAAGACATCCTATTTTCTAGCCAAATTAAAATGAATATATTTTGTTGTATTTTGCCTATGAAATACATAAGCGGTAGATATTAAGTCAAACCGTGAAAGTCAGACGAGACAAGTAGTGTACGTGTGACAGGTATCCGGAAACACTTGAGTGGACTTGCTACTCGAGCGCGCCAGGAGAGCCGGCATTTCACCTGGGCCGTCTATAGAAGGCAAGCAGTGGCTCAGTGGTTGTAAGATGGTAGTTTGAGGGCTGGCCTTCAGGCAGGCTCTCCTGGGCTGAGCTGGGGACTGGGGGCACTGAATGTGTGCTCTCCGGATGAGCATCACAGCTGAGAAGATGCAGCATCTGTCCTGGCTGGTGCATGGTGGGGCGGAGTCACCCTGAGAGTCACGACAGAGAGTATAAGAAAGGAAGACCGTGGGCCAGGAGAGCTGTGGGCATTCCCAAGAGGCAGTTTTAGGATAGAGTGGGGTGGGCCTGGGCGTGACCCGAATCACGAGGGTGGGGAGGGCCATGTGGAGAGTCTGCTCCAGAGCCCTAGGTGCTGGGGTTGGACACTGGCAAGCACCTCAGAGTAAGCAGACACTCTCTGCTGTACACCCACAACTTCCCCGGGACCCCCACAGGCTAGGAAGGGTAGCCTGCCATCTACACCAAAGCAGTGTGCAAACCAGGGAGGTACTGACTACCAGTGGGGTCGAGCCTACTATCCGGACAGAGAAGGCAGGACTTTGGAAGTGCTTATTGGATGAGTGAAGAATGAATACATGAATGGGAGATCCCTGAGAAAGAGTGCTTAAACCGTGAACCCTGCCGTACAAAGAGAGAGAGAAGAAACGGACCTGGGGACCTCACCCTGCCCTTGTCGCAGCTCCCAGGGGACAGTTGTTTCCGGGAGGGATGCTTGCAGCATGGGGTGCTCTGCCTTCCTGGGCAGGGCAGGGCAGGGCAGGGCAGGGCAGGGCAGGGCAGGGCACTGTAGCTGTGTGGTTTCTGTTTCTCTGGGGTGGCATGGATGAAGAAATTCTTCTGTAGGAAGGGCTTAAAACAGCTGACGAGGGTACATGAGCTGTGGCTCGGAGGGTGGCGAGGGGGCCTGGGCCAGGCCAAGGCAGCAGGCATTGATTAGAATCTTACATTTTTAAAAATTAATTAATATTTTCCCTTGCTCTGGCTTGTTCCACCCTCCCCTCCCTCGTGATTCGGGTCATGCCCAGGCCCACCCCACTCTATCCTAAAACTGCCTCTTGGGAATGCCCACAGCTCTCCTGGCCCACGGTCTTCCTTTCTTATACTCTCTGTCGTGACTCTCAGGGTGACTCCGCCCCACCACACACCAAGCCACGACAGATGCTGCATCTTCTCAGCTGTGATGCTCATAGTAAATGAATAAATAAACAAGGGAATGAACAAACAGGGTCACATTTCTAACACGAGGGTCACATGTACTATTCATACATCTCTAAGGTATCTGGGTTAGTCAGCTTTTCGTTCCTATGGAAAAATGCCTGTCGGGTGGTGGTGGCGCACACCTTTAATCCCAGCACTCGGGAGGCAGAGGCAAGCGGATCTCTGTGAGTTCGAGGCCAGCCTGGTCTGCAGAGCGAGTTCCAGGACAGCCTCCAAAGCCACAGAGAAACCCTGTCTCAAGAACAAAACAAAAACAAACAAACCAAAGATGCCCATGCCAAGCAGTTCAAAGCAGGGAAGGTTTATTTTGTCTCGTAGCTTCAGTCCATAGCGTGTTGAAAACTCTGGGGTTGTTGGCTGGAGCACACAATGCCCTTTAATTGGGAGACCCTGGAGTCTGTATTTGTGGGGTGTCCCCCTCTACCCAAAGAGGGCTTTGCCTAAGCTTCTGTAGCCTCTTGCTCCGTCTGCCTGATGTCTTAAGTCCTGGCTTCCTGAGGGCCTCTCTGTGACAGACACCTGTTTCTCCACCCTCCACCGCCTGCTGCTTCCTGAGCAGGAGCAGACTTGCTGCTGCCTGCTGGGCTTCTCAGGCCTGAGCTGTCTCTCCAGACGCTGCCGGTGTCATCTGTCTGGGCTTTGCCTTTGTGAATTTGCGTCTGTTGTTCCCTAAACCACTTTGCAAGGGTTTAGGAGGGAAGTGAACACACTTGTCTGCGTTTGATTTCCCTTGTGTAAGGGATCCCTGTCTTGGCCAGCCTTAAAGAACTGTTTAGTCAAGAACGATCTAACATGAGATCTTTACTGACGTCAACAGATCCGGAGGCTGTGTCCAGTCATCACGTTCTGAGGCGATGCTGGAAATGGGGGGATTGGAATTCAGAGGTCTTCCAGGGACCTAGAGAGACTGATTAACCTGACAATATGACTTTCAAAACAAAACAAAACAAACAACAACCCAGGTCTCTTTCTAACAACACGGCAGGATGCCACACATCTTATCTAGACCCTTCCTCTGTTCTCGGACTCTGGAATCATATGCATTATGAACATGCTAACTGCCGCATGTATGTGAGATGTGTTTTTAAACTTGCTTTTTTGCCACGCTTGTTTCTTCTTATGAAAGAAGTGCATTTACATTATAGAATGTTCTAGTAGGAAATGGTGGACGTCCTTTTCTGCTTCTGCATCCAGCTCTGCCGCTGTGCCCTCTTGTCACGAGTCACGAGCGTGTCCCTTTCTGGTCAGAGATGTGGGTTCTCATGGACATGCTTTCATTCTCTTCTAGGACACGGGGGTCGGGAAATCAAGCATCGTGTGCCGGTTTGTTCAGGACCACTTTGACCACAACATCAGCCCCACCATCGGGTGAGTGACAGTGTGTCTCTCTTTTGACATCATCACTTCTCTTTAGGGCAAACATTTCCAACTCTGGAAATTTAGGGCTACTCTTGCCAATTTTTTTTTTCCCCCTTGCCAACTTTCTTCCTCTTGAAGGACAGGACTGTTTTCTTGCCTATCAAGACCATGGACCTGGAAAGCAGGTTGCCTTTATCTCCGGATGGGAGATGGTGTGCATTATCAGCTCCTTCCTGGTGGGTGGCCTGGTTTTAATCCCCGCAAAAGTTGACCACTGTAGATTGGAATAATCTAATGCCCCCTCCCTGTAGCTTAAGTTTACTGTGATGACACAGTTTCTGATGGTTGTGATGCCTTATGGGAGCTGCTCTACTTTCTGCCTACGTTGCTCCTCAGTGTCTTCTGGTGTGTGCTCAAGAATATGTAAGGCTTTTCCTGACATAGTTAACTTGCCTCACATTTTCTCTTTTGGAACTTTGAGAAGCTGTTTCTAAGCTCTTGTTCCAGAAAAAACAAAACAAAACAAAAAAAAACAAACAAACAAACAAAAAAAAAAACCAAAAGAAAAAACAAAATAAAAAACCAAAAAAACGAGGCTACCAGGAATACTTCCTAAGTAAACCATAGACTTAGTGGAGGGTAATGAAAATGGAATTCTTAATTTCGAAAGGCTTGATAGATTACCCATACCAAAGCGTGTTAACTCAGTGAGCCAGAATTCTGGCCTGAGGACTCTTTTTTTTTTTTAAGATTTTTATGGCACTTTCAAAAACTTAAGCCCACGCATCAGTTATTTTCTTTCTACAGTAAACAAATAGCTGACAAGGAGGAGAGGTTTTTTTGGCTTACGGTTGCCAGGGTTCAGTCCATGGCTGCTTGGCTTCGTGCGTGGGCTTGGACAGAAAACACCATGGCAGTGGCTAGTAGCGTCTAAGGGCATGGCCTCTGTGACCCCCTCCCTCCACCCAGACCTCACTTCCTACTTTCTATTCATGCTATCACGTTATTAACCCTTCAAAGGATCACCCAGTCAGAGTCATCATGACCTAGCAGTTTCTGGGAATGCCCTCATGGCCACACCCATGGCCACACCCACATGCCAGATGTGTTCCATCACTCTCTTAGGTGTCTCTCCACCACACCCAACATTGAAGAAGTGAGAGACTTGGTGCTTCTGGCTTCTCTTGAGAGATCCATGGATGTGGAGCCGTGGGGTGTGGCCGCCTGCCCCAGCCAGAGCCAGGGCGTGCTATAGGGTGATAGATTCTCAAGCTTGCGGATTCCCTATGACTTACTATTACTGTTGTTTTTGTCAGTACTGTTGACTTGCTCACTGTCTTATGTAACCTACCTGATGCCCTGACTGATTCAGTTCATGTCCCTGACCCAGGGGTTAAGTGTGATGGTTTCCACGGGTCGGAGCACATGGGTGGTCACAGAGTTACAGTCCTGACTCAGACTGAGCCAGGTAGAGCTGGGGGCGTGGCTTCAGAAACATTACCCCACGTTATCTCAGCGACTCATACCGGTAGTCACGCAGATTGGCAGATTGCGGGATGTGGCTATGCCATGGGCTCGGTCCAGGCATGGAAGCTGTATCCCTGAGCTCCCTGTACAGCCTGCACACATATGATCACACATGCAGCAGCTCGGTGAGTAGGCGTCGATTTTCCGCGTGCATCTTGTTTTATTATTTCATAGACGGGTATTTACTGGGGAGGGGTGGCGTTTGCGTGCACGTGTGGCGGTGAGAGGAAGAGCTGGGGGAGTTGAGTCTCCCCTCCCATCCTGTAGATCCTGGGGCTCAAACTCAGGTGTTCGGACTTGGTGACACACAACTTCCTGGCCCGTGCTGCGAATCTTGTAAGTTTTTATTTCCTTCTTAGTTTTCATTTCTTGAATTTCCTTTTGTGTGTGTGAGCAAAGGAGACCTCAAAACCGCCCCCCACAGTGACACACTTCCTCCAACAAGGCCACCCCTACTCTAGCAAGGCCACACCTCCTAACAGTGCCAACTACATTCCAAACACCACAGCCTCTTCGGCAGAGTCCACACAGGAGCTTCTCATAGCTTGTCAGGATGCTGACACTGCTTACAGCTTTTTAATGAGTAGAAAGAGTTAGTGCACAGAAGAGAGGGCATTACATATTCTGTGTATTTGATTTTTACACCTCTCATGAGCACAAGGAAGATTGATGGGTATGTCTTTCTGTACGTATGTTTGTATTATTGGTTAATGAATAAAGCTCTGTTTGGCGAGTGGCCAGGCAGGAAGGATAGGCGGGGCTGCCAGGCGAGGAGAATTCTGGGAAGTGTAGGCAGAGAGGAGTCGACCTGTGAGCCCGGGAAAAGAGGATGTGAGTCAGGCATTCTCTTGTAAGAGAAGACCATGTAGAAATACATAGATTAGTAGTTATAGGTTAATAATTAAGAAAGAGCTAGCCAATAAGAAGCCCAAGCCACCGGCCAACAATATTACAATTAATATAAGTCTCTAAGTGTTCATTTGGGGCAAGGGTGGGAAATCCTGTAACAGAAAATGCTTGTTCAGAGAAAAGAGGTAAGAAGAAAATCGAGTGTTTTATGGTTTACTGATAACCTTAAGGTATTTCCTTTTTAGTAGAAGCATGCATATGTTTTTGTTATTTATCCCCATGTTGTTCAGTTTTACATCAACGGACACAGGCTGAAGCCATCTGAGAGGAGGGACTCTCCATTAAGAAGATGCCTCCATAACACTGGGCTGTAGGCAAGCCTGTAGGGTATTTTTTAAAGTTAGTGACTGATGTAGGAGGGCCTAACCCATTGTCAGTGGTGAAATCCCTGAGCCTGTGGTCCTGGCTTCTATAAGAAAGAAGGTTGAGTAAGCCATGAGGAGCAAACCAGTAAGCAGCTCCCTCCATGGCCTCTGCATCAGCTCCTGCCTCCAGGTTCCTATCCTGTTTGAGTTCATCAGTGATGAACAGATGTGGAAGTTTAAGCCGAATTAACCCCTTTTTTCCCAAGTTACTTTGGTCATGTTTTTTATTGAAGCAATGGAAATCTTAACTAAGACAATCTCTACATTTATGCAGACAGCTTGAGGTTTGGCTATATTTTTCTCTACTTGCTTCTAGTATTGAATTCATGTCATCACAGGGAATATGTTATTTTTCTTTTCTTTTTTTTTTTTTTTTTTTTTTTTTTTTTGATATTTCCTTTTAAGCTATGGCTATCCTAGGGGACACTGACTTGGGTTCCCGTGTTTCTGTGGAGCTTCGATAACGCAGACTCTCTTTTCAGGGCGTCTTTTATGACCAAAACTGTGCCTTGTGGGAACGAACTTCACAAATTCCTCATCTGGGACACTGCTGGCCAGGAGCGGGTAAGTACACACTGCTTCTGGGACTTCTGGGGACGAAACGGAGCTAGTGTCTGTGTTTTGGTTGGTTGTGGTCTTCTGTAGTGATTTCCATCTGTTATAAAGAGAAGTTTCCTTGATGGGGGTGAGGACTGCACTTACCTGTGGCTATACGAACAAATATTAAGATTGTAGTTAGGGTTTATGTTGGTTTATTACAGCGGTAGTTGTAGACTGACCTGGGCCAGTAGGTTATTCTTCAGTGGCAGGGTCCTACGTGGGACCTGGGGATGGGAAAATAAAGAATATAGAAAAGTTTGGCAACAGGATGTCTTGCATAAGCTGTGTCTTATGCCAAGCAGGCTTACTAAGAAGTACAGCACCTTACATACTGTTTTCAGGGGTTAGACATGGGGCAGAGTCAGCAGAAGCTGTCACACAATGGGATGGAGTCAGCGGGAAGCTAATCAGACAGTGTTGCACAAGGGACCACAGAGTATCTATCTCAAGAGCATCACAGTCCGGGCACACGGAGCCTTGGGACTGATAACCACAGCCCCGTGCTGTGGGAAGAGGTGGGTTCTCAGGATCTGAAGCCGAAGCTCCCTCAAGGCTCTGGCCCCAGGCCATTACCATCTCTGCCAAGTGTATTCTTCAGGGTTCCTTCTCCAACATCAGGGTCTCGGGGAAGCCTGGGATCAGCCCGGCCCTCGGTTGTAGCACCAATAATAAAAATCCAGAGACAGATATTGGGTTCAAGCTGAAGATCAGAAAAGCAAAGCAGACAAGCCACTGGAGAGTTCTTCTGTACCAGAGTGACTGCAGATTGCAATGCTCTCCACCAAACCTCACACTGCACTGAGCTCCTGTCTTAAATTCCCTCTAGTTCTGGGATCAAAGGTGTGAGCTGTTTCTCTTTTAGACTGATTCACTCTCATGTAGCCGAGGGTGACCTTGAACTCACAGAGATCCATCTGCCTCTGTGTGTCCTGAGTGCTGGGTGAAGGTGTGGCCACCACTGCCTGGCCTCTATTGCCAACTAGTGGCTTAGTGTGTGTCTGGTTAACCAGCGGCTTAGCTCTTATTTAGGTGTGTGGCTAATAGCTCTGCACCCTGATCTTCAGGCAAGATCATAAACAAAACATCACCACACTCAATAGCAGATTCTCCTCCAAGGTCTGTTACTTGTCTAGACATGGGTAGTTGGCTGGGTTTCCTGAAAAAGACTTGCTCTGCCTCTTGAGTGGGTCTTAAACCCGATCAGACCCACGGCCGCACCCATAGAGTTGTGGTGCCTTGCTGGCTGTTGATGTGGTCCCTAGGCATCTTAGGTGGGCCTCTTGGTTGCTTTGGAAGGTTGCATGGCACCTTTTGATACCATGGAAGCTAGACCCCAGGGAGGGGACACTTTTCAGCTCAGGAGCCTCTGAGCCCTGTTTCTGGAGTGCAAGGTGTCTTCACAAGAGGGACTTCATTCTCACCTCGGTGGGGGGGGGTGGGGGGCACAGAAGGCAAGAACAATAGCCTGTAGTGTGTTGGGAGTCTCATACAACCCTGACCAGCAACTCAAAAGAGGGTGTCTCATGCCTGGATTTGGTAGATGGTCCTTGCTCTTGGAGGGAGCCTTGTCAGCTCAGATGGGAAATTTTCATTTATACTATTATGTATATTTATACACCGACTTAAGTGTCTTATAGATATTTTTAGGTAGTTAAAAATACGATTCCTTATAACTTTTTTCAGCCATATTTACTGTTACTTTAGCCCCTTCTCCCTCCCTCGTCAGACCCCCGCCCTGCCACCCCATTTACCCCATCAGACCCCCATACCCTGCCACCCTTTTCTCCATTGCTCACCACCCCCAAGCCCAAGCCTGGCAATGGGCTGTTTTCACATGTCCCAGAGGTTTTATTGTGTGGTGTCTTCGTTTCCATTCATTTCATTCCAGGAACGTTTTTGTTTCTTTCTTGATCTCTTCTCTGACCCAGGCATATATTGCTTGTGGACAGCAGACTTTGTTTCCTCATCCACTCAGTCTGTGTGGTGTCCCAGTTAGTGGGGCTGTTTGCGAAGGATGAGGAGGTGTGGCCTTGTTGGGAGAGGTGTGTCACGGGGGTGGGGGGAGGGGTGGAGGTTAGGGTGGGGGGGGTGGGCTCTGAGGTTTCAAAAGTCCACGCCAGGCCCAGTCTTGCTCTGTCTGCCTGCAGACAGCTCTTCAGTGTCCTGCTTACCATCCTGCCTCCATGCTCCCTCCCTGCTACGATGGTCATGGTCTAACCTGGAAATGTAAGCAAGCCCCAGTTAGACGATTCTGTTGTGAATTGCCTTGATCACCTCGTTTTCACCGCAATAGAACAGTAGCTAAGGCAGCCTATTTCTTTGGATGGGAGAATTGAGGCCATTGATGTTTGGAGTTCTTATGGAAATGTTCATGTTAATTGCAGTGATTGCATTGTTGATTTTGGGAGGTGGTATTTGTGTTCTCAGTGGTGATAATTATGGCTTTGTGTTTCTTCCCACGGTCTCTTGGATTTGCTCATTTCTTTCTTTGGCCTGAAACATCACTCCCTATATATGTTTTAGGTTTGGTTTGTTAGACATACCCTTTACTAGGCCATTTATATCCTGGGAGGTTTTCCTTTCTCCTTCAACTATGGTGGAGTTTTTCTGGATGTGTTAGTCCAGGTTGGACAGCAGATCTTTTGACTGGAACACACTTCTTCAGACCCTTCTGCCTCTCAGAGTTCCCACTGAGAAATCAGCTGTTTTTCTGATGGGGTTTCCATGGTATGCAACTTGTTTGCTTGCTTGTTTTTTTCTTGCAGTTTTCTAGACATTTTCTTTGTTCTGTATACTAATGCCGAGAGATTTTCTTTCTGGTCTCATCTATTCAGTGATCTATATCTGTATGAGTATATCTTTCCGTTGCCTGGGGAAGTTGTCATCTATGGTCTTGTTGAAGATCTGCCCTACGCCATTGACTTGGGATTCTTCCTTCCCATCTATGCCGCTGATTTGAAGGTGTGGTTTGTACACAATGCTGCACATTTCCTGTATGCCCCTTTGCCGTGATTTTAATTTTTTCATATTCCTTCCTTACTTGGTTCAGATCTTCTACTTTTCTTCTGCGTGTAGAGTGTTCCTTTGAGCTTTCCAGTTGACTTACTGGGTTTTCCAACTCCTTCTTCATTTCAGCTTGAATCCTCTTCAGTGTTTCCGTCTCTGTATTGAATTCTGCCCTCAAGCCCTGGATTGTTCTTGTCATTTCCTTCCATCAGTCTCGTTTGTGTTGTCCTGGGCATCATTCAGGATCTTTCTAATTCTGTGTTCTCACCTAAGTAATTCTCATTGGCAGACATTTCTACAGGACTGGTAGGGTGTGTGGGGAGACCCTGACCTGATCTTTAATGTAGCTTGTATTTTCTTGACGAGAGCTGGGCATGTGGACTTCTTTTGTGAGTTCTCTGTTGGATGTGCACAGAGCAGGTTGAGACACAGGATGTGCGGGTTGGTTGGGGTTGGAGGTTAGAAATGACTTAGGTGGCTAGAAAGGACTGGGCTGCTGTGGAGGATGTGCATCTTAGCCCAGACTGAGAGTATAGGGGTAGATCTGTCTGGGTGAGAGGCTGGATGTGGTGTGGGAGGGGCCTGGTCTAGAGAGTGATTGTAATGCAAGCAGGTGTGGCCAGACTTAGCAAGGGCACTGGATCTGGGATCTGGGCTGGGTCTGGAGGGTTCAGAAGGATCAGGCAGACTCTGGACAACAGTGTACAGGACCTGGCCGGGTGGAGAGATTGGATATTCAGTCTGCTTTCTTATACAACCCAGGACCACCTGTCTAGGGGCAGCGCTGTCCACAGTGGGCTGGGCCTTCCCACATCAATCATCAATCAGGGGGATGCCCCCAATGCCCAACCGAGTTGCAGCATGTTCCCAACTGAGCTTCCCTTTCCCCAAATGCCTCTAGCATGTTGGCCAGAAACTATTTTATGTAGACCAGCTTCTTCTTTAATTCACTTAATGATCTTGTCTGTCTCTAAAAGCCTTCTGTTTCTTATCTTCCTCACAATGGAAGAACAATCCTTACTTTTTATTATCTGATTCTTATAAGTCCTGTGCTCATGCGATATTCATCTTATAGAAGTCCTCCCTTTAAAACTGAAGTTTCAGCCCTTGAGAGGCAGAGGCAGGAGGATCTCTGTGAGTTCAAGGTCAGCCTGGTCTACAGAGAGAGTTCCAGGACAGCCAAGGCTACATAGAGAAACCCTGCCTCAAAAACAAACAAACTGAAGTTCTAGTAATTTTAGGTTAAAGCATTTTAAAGAATATTTTAGGAATTAGATAATTTTCTGGCCTACAAGGGCTAATTTCATTAAGATGTCTTTTTATCAGCTGTTAGGTTTAGCTCACAGCCTTTGGTTGGGAGATTTTCAAAACAGGGTTTGTCTGTGGAGCTTTGGAGCCTGTCCTGGAACTCACTCTGTAGACCAGGCTGGCCTCAAACTCAGAGATTCACCTGCCTCTGCCTCTTGAGTGCTGGGATTGAGGGCGTGTGCCACCACCACCCACTGAGAGTACAGACTTTTATAAAGTTTAGGCCTGGGGACCTTCTCTAAGCTGCCAGTCAGCAATTCCTGCTGATCCCCAAATCCAGCTACCATATTCACAGAGAAATGTCTACTTAAAGGGGGGCTCATGTCTTTATTCACCTGTGTTTCTTTGCAGTTGTCTGGCTGTTTTTTACTCACTTTTTTGTTTTGTCTCTGGGTTGTCCTAGAAACCCGTTGCCTTGGCCACGGAACAGGTGCTTTTATGAATGATGCTCAGTCAGTTTCACAGGAAACGGGCTCTGCGTGAGCAAGCAACAGCAGGGCTCCTACCACCAGCCGGTGTTCCTTGTGACTTGCTGTGTTCTGACATTGCCCTGAGTGCCATGTACGTGGTATCCTCTCTCTGCTGCACCGTGAGGTACCTGAGCCTTACCTCATTGAGAGAGGTCACTAAATCACAGAAGTCGAGGACGA